TAATTTATTTCCGTAAGATAACTTCACGAATTTACAGCACTAAGCTTCTTCAAATTTGAATCAATCTCTCTTACAGCAGAACCTCTCGCTCTAATATAAATGAGGCTTAAAGTTCTAGAAACTTCTATTTGGAACTAAATTAAGTAGTTTGACACAGTTTCTAATCTGAGTAATGACATAAGGATTAGAATGTTCTGGAATGTCCTTATACAAATTGGTCACGGCTGAATGACTTCAGGTTCTAAACTGTTCTAGAACTAGACTTAGACAATTTTTTCGTAATAGTGACGAGGGGAAGCGCAATCCCCGGAATTCTTTTTTCCGCGCTTAACGGCTCGTTTCGCTCGTCGGATTTTTTTTCCGCTTTCGCCTGGAGCCTGTTCGGAGGCTAGTTCACATTCACGTTCACGTTCACGTTCACGTTCGCGTTCAGCCGTTCGAACGGATACCGTAAGGAACGTTTTCGCGTGAGAGGTCACATATTTACCGATGTATTTTTGTGGTTGAATCGGCAAAGTTCTTCTTCCGTGATGCGTAATTTAATAGAAAAATTCATCGTAATGCGTGATTGGTACCTCACCTTTGCCACCCTTACATTTCTCTGTTAGTACTAGTTTAGAATAATCGTGACTTTCTCCATAGCCAATTTATTACTCTGATGATTGGCGCTTAATGTGTTTTGTCAGAAGCATGTCACCTAGGTGATATGCTTCTAGTTTTGTAAATATCTAAGATAAATGGGCATAGCACTGATTGGTGGATAATATTGTCAATGCCACGCAGCCTGTCGGTCGTGCATTTCACTGAGCACTTAAAAAACTTCAGTTAAAATAAGTAACACGAGAGAGGTTTCTACTTAACCCCAATTTTAGTGTTTTAGTGTATTCAGTGTTCAAGTAAGATTTGTGGGAATCATGGAGCTGAGAAATTTCCCATTGATGATTAGTGCGGCGAATGCAAGCTACGACGCACGGTCAACTCGCCAAAAAAGCGAACAAAACCATACAACAAAGACATCATAGTCGTCGGTTTTCATAACGTTTTCGCTCTATTAACTATGATAACGTTTAAGTGAAGACAAACCTCACTCAAAATTTAAATTATAACGGAAAGTAAAACAAACAGAGAGATAAGCGTCCGGAATGCCATCAATTTGTCCAGGACAATGATTTAGATTACAGAACTTTTTATATATTGATAGTGATAAATACAACTGAATTTTTCCATCCCTCCTTTTCCACACGTTTTTAATAGTTCTTCTTTCACGCCACAGATGTGCAGCAACCCCGAGGTCTCATACAAGAAGCTATACCCGACCTTCATCCGCACGTTCGCTATTGACACTAAACTCACACCGAGTCTACTTTCACTCCTCAAATATTTTAACTGGAAAAGGGTGGCAATCATTTACGAGAACGTAACGAAATGGATTGAAATGAAGAATAACATGGTGAAACGCTTGAGAGCCAAGGGAATAACTGTGTCACAAGAGCTTTTATCACATCCTGCGGCACTCTACAGACCACGAAACCACACCGATTTTTTCAGGGACATCTTTAGAAAGATTAAACAGGAAGCTCGAAGTACGTTTTAACTTTGATGTTGCTGCCTCGTAAAGAATGGCTGCATGTTTAACACTACTATCACTTTTTACAATAACTAAGAGAATTCTCGCGCGCTCATTGGAAGAAGATGGTGTTGCATGTTCTTCTATTTGGTTTAGAATATCTGAAAAAGGGAAAATACGGTATTTATATCTGAGAAGGGACAGTGATTGCGTTGGAAACCCAACGTCCGCGACATACATACAATATAATTCCCAGCCGTGCATCTATAAAAAAAATATTTACATATATATTTGTATGCACGCTCAACCCCAATATTAGGTATAAAGCAGCTCTATTCTAAAATCTGATAGATGGCGTCATAAAATGTCCAAAACTTTGCAGAGAAACCACACTCCAGCGCGCTGCTCCTGGTTCTATTTGAGTTTTGAACATCTTATGACGTTATTTCTATTTTAATTGGTCGATTTGTTATATCGCTGTCGCTATCACTGCCTCTATCTCTGAGCATCAAGACCAACGCTGGACGTTAACACTAGTGCATAGGCACCCGCACAAAATGGTGTTATTTAAACAACAGAGTGTTTCTGTCGAGGAACTATCGGCTGATAGTTGCCCCGCGGAAATTTGATGTTCTTGAAACAAATATTTGCTAGTTTTAAGAACATCAAATTTCCCAGGGGCAACTATCAGACCGATAGTTCCGAGACAGAAACACTCTATTGTCTTTACTGTTCACCACTAAATTTTCTTCCGCTTGCCAGTTCAAAAATCATTTGGAATTATTTTCAACTTTTTTAGAGGAAAGCCGTGAACGCCAAATGTAAAATTTGAAAAAGAAAACGAACAAAAACCCTCTTAATACAAATTCAATTGTTCATTTTCTCTAAGCCCGCTTGTTTACAGAAATATTTTCACGGACGAGTACTATCCATCCGGGCATTTTCCTCGGACGGGCACTATGGGCTGATAGTGTCTCTCCACGGATGAACACTATCGCGTCTAGTGATCAATTTAAACCAATAAGAATCGGAGAAAATTTAGTGGTGAACTATAAGTACAGATATTGGGCACCTAATGTACATTTATTCTCACGCTCAAGAAACCGAGCTCGTGCTCACTGAATTAATCTAAGCTGTGTGGATTCGCTACTACACCGCTACACTTATCACTAACTCACAATTAACACAATTTTTCTAATTGTTTTTCCATCAGTTGTAGTTTTTGTGTCCTCCTTCTACATGGCAAGGGAAGGAATGCTTCACGCCTACGACGAGGGAATGACAGATGGTGATTACGCTTTCATCATGTTTGTACTGGATCAAAGTGAGATGTCGCTTTACACTAAACTGACCTTTAAATGGTTTTTCAGTAGCTACAAAACATCTCTAAATCGTTATCATCACGTGAAAAAGGCTTTCGAAGCAGCCTTTGTGTTAGCTATCAAAAGTCCTTCATCCAAAAGCTACCCCAACTTTACAGCAGAGTTGAAAAAGCGGTCGCGTGATCCTCCCTTCCACAGCAAAGTGTACGAAGGCTACCTGTGGAACCAAAATTCCAAGTTTCCTGCTAACAAAACTGAAGTAAGTAATCTTTGTGAGACAAGATAACGTTACCGGGGAATTCAGTCTCCTATCCTCATCCCTCTCCTCTCCCCATCCCTCTCTCCCTTCCCATTCCCTTTCGTCGCTCTCTATGGTCGATTAACCTCGAATGAACGTCGATTTAATGTAGAGGTGCCCATCAGAAATACTTCAGCGTGGTGGCCCAAGAGTTGCGAGTTTTTTCGGTGGACGTTAACCCAAGGATGGTGAAAATCTTATTTTTCTCGGACTTTGTGACGTAAATACATTATCAAGAGCGACTGAAGTCTATAAAAAGCTGTTTCCACCTCTGAAATTGGATCCTTATTGTGTATGATCATCATCATAATCGTTACCACTACCACCACCACCATCACCACCACCGCCGCCGCCGCCGCCGCCGTCGTCATCGTCGTCATCGTCGTCGTCGTCGTCATCATCATCATCATCATCATCACCATCAGCCGCAGCAGCAGCAGTAATCAACTGGCTGACCATGCTCTTCCGTCCCCCTATTAGCTAACCTAAAAAATTGGGTCAATACATGTATATGCGATTAATCAACCTCCCCTTGCTTCTCTTAAAATAAGGACAACAACAACTTTGTGTGTCTGAAAATGGGGAAGTGGGTGACAGAGTGCTCAGTTAATATTTTAGCCCCATGAACCCCTGGAGTGTCAAGAAAACAAAACCTACAGCCCAAGGAGATGTAAACAGTGGATGGAGAGAAAGGAATAAGCCTTCACTCAGGGCCACTGTAAACATTCCTGGGTAGAGAGGAGGGAGTGGGCCTCCACTAACCTAACTCCAGGGGGTAAAATTGGAGGGAGTTGGCCTCCGAAAATCGAGTCTACGGGGGCAAGAGTGTGTCGAGAGGAGCACTTCATCCCCATTCCCGTGTTTATTTGACCAACCTAAACAGAGCTTGCAAAGAACGGTAACAATATAAAAAAGTATAAATTGAGAATTATGATCTCAAGTATCTATTACTGGACTGGCAGACTGTTCTAATCTACATAAACAAACCTAAACGAGGTACTTAGTTTCTATTGTTCGTTCAGATAAATAACAACTTAAGTGTTTCTGAAAATCGTAAAGATCCTTCAATAGATTGACATGTCTAAACCACCTCAAGTGTGGTATGTAATTGCTCTAAAAGTTATAAATGTTCGTTTTGGTAATTTTAATTCGAGTGTACACAAAGAAACTTCAAAAGAGGTACTTATTCTAAGAGTCCCATTGCTCATCTTAACAATTAACGCATCCCGTTGAAGCCCTGATTTTTTTTTTTTTCAGGCTTCTTCTTTCCAATTGCTTAAATTGGAAAATTTACTGCGATGATCATTCTTCACTTTCCTTTAATTAACGCATCTATTAAATACAACTAAAAGTGGTGCTTGAACCTTCAAGATTTACATGTTATGCCAGGAGTTGTTATTAATAGTGAACATTACAACCTAGTTGTAAAACTGATATCGCCCTACAATTTGTTGTATTACAAAATATTCTAAATGATTGGAAAAGCCCTTAGGCAAACTATATTATTACGAAGACCTATGAGCGGGCAAGTGCTTTGGTTGGGTGGGAAGGGATTAGAAAATATTCTGGACAAAATATCGCACTGTAGTCTATCTCGTGTGAGAGCAAAAGACAGTGGCCAAATTTAGCAGGCATGTATCAAGATGCTAAAGTTCGCTCTGATTGGGTGGTTTTCAGGATTCTCACGTGAGGTCATCCAAGGTCGATGAATGAATGATTAGCAACGCACATGGCTCAAAATAGAAACAAGAGCTGTTGATTAACTGAAATTTATTTCATATGTTCAATAAATTGTGATGTTTTTTCATTTATCTTTTTCTTTAGCCACCAATTTATGGAGCTTATCTTTACGATGCTGTATACCAGTTTGCGGTTGCTCTCAACAAAACAATGGCAAAGAATCAGTCTGTCACAGGGAAAATCATTGCAGAGAATCTACAAGATATTCAATATGACAGTAAGTAATTATAATTTTTCTGACTTTTCAGGCAGGATCTATTTGCGCAAGGGGAAATTTTGTAAATTAACACTTTACAAAACAGGCAGCCACCGACCGACTGGCTGACTGTATGAGTTAGTAGAATAACTTTCTAAAACAACTGTTATACTGCGTCGGCGGCAAGTGATACAGTTGAACCTTCCTGTGCGACCACTTATTGTAAGTGAACTCTTCTAGCTACAGTTATAAAAACTACCAAAATGTTCCCAGTTGGATCGCTATAGTATAGAAACTCTATTTCAACGACCACCTGTCGTAAGGGACTGCGACCGCCTTGAGAGCTGATGGTTGCAAATTTCTTAAGTGACAACCGAACACGTATCCGACCACACTTATAGGACGCTTTTCATTTGTCATAAAACCAAAACCACATCGTCATCACTCTACCCTATAACAAAGGGGGCAAACTAACTGGTGAACCAGTCATATACATGTAGTACTGTGTAGGTTGGTTTTGGTTTTACTTCTGATTAAATGACAGAGTAGACAGAGTTTTTTACAGACAATCGCTTGGGCAACGACAAACCAAATCAAAAGCCAGTTACTTAAGACACTCAAGTGGAAACCACTCTACAGTGTAAGACGAGCAAAAAAAATAAAACCGCAGACGCCGTACAACCCAAACACGTTAGTAAATACCGTTCTTAGGCTGAAAAAAACGGAAGAGATAGTTAGATGCCAAAAATTACTCATGATCACTCAATACTAGTTCAGATGCCTGTGTGATGCATTAAGCAATTACTTTCATCAAAAAATACAAAGGGAATAAGAATAAAAAATAATCCATCTTTATTTGTACTCATTCTTGCTAAAGAAAAAATTACAATTTCAATGAAAATATTAAAAGCAATAATTTGAGTACTAGCTGCTTGGAATAACCATAGGGGCTAGCGGAGCCAGGCAGCCAGTTAACATCAGCATTAAATAGAAATAAAATAGAGGTCAGCAAGAAAACTTGAGCACAAATGAACACACAAGAAGAAAAAAAAAGATGAGGAAAAACGCTATTTCTATGCTATGAAGGAAGTCTAAAATAGTTTAAGTTATATATGAATACAAAACATTAATATAAGAAGAGCACACAATAGCTAT